TCTGGAGTTTAGTTAATAAACCCAAGTATTATGGTTTGTCTGACATCCAATCTGAGGAGTTGTTCTCAAATAATTGTAGACAATTTAATCCAGTTGCATGAATGTAATGGCTCCCTGATTTGTCTATGCACCTAGCAATTTAAACTATAACCTCAGAAGTGACTACACCAGGATAAATGCAGGAAACATTCAATTTATTTTATTTATAATTCATTGGAATTCCCGAATTTTGGATTATTCCAATAACTATGTGTACTAAAAATTACTAGAAATTTCTACAATTTGCCTCATCCATATCTATACAATTAAAGAAACCCCCAGATCTTCTATGGTATGTGGCTTAAAAAGCTTTATCTAGAACAGGGGTTCTCAACCCAGTCCTCAAGGACCCCCTACCAGTCCCGGATATAGGGATTACCTGGGTGTGTCTAAGATGTTTTTCTTCTTTTTCTAAACACCTTAGACACACCCAGGTAATCCCTAAATCCTGGACTGGTAGGGGGTCCTTGAGGATTGGGTTGAGAACCCCTGATCTAGAACAACTTTTTTCCCTATATTTACCTACATTTACTATCCCATATTATCTTGCATCATATCCTGAATGAACCACAGAGCAGAGTGGATATAATACCAATACCGCTCTAGTTAATGCGTTCTCAATCCACTTGCAAATGTAAGCATTTTATTGAGGAAAACTATAGGGCAAAGCAATGATTTATTAAGCAGGATATCAGTAACAATATATTACAATATCACAGACACAGATAAGTACATTTAGACTTTCAAGGTTATTCATGTAATCAAGAACTGCCAGGAATTAACCTGAGAATTTCAATAACTGACCTTGAAAAATAAATGTAGATTTGTTTTTTCCTAATTATGGCTACTTTGCACTTTATTTTGACTAATTCACGACAGTTGTGACACTAAAACAGTATTTTGAATAACACTATATGTCTTTTAGGCAAAGACTATTATAGAAGAAAAAGATAGAAATAGCGCTACTCTTAGTTGTCATTCCAAAGTGCAAATCTGGCTCTGAGGCTATGAAGTAACAGAAGCAATCAGATGAGGTCTTCATTAAGCTTGCTAACGGACTAATTTGAGGTCAAAACGTTGTTTCTGTTATTTCATGCACTGATCATCATTAAATTTTCCATTTGATCGTCCTTGAGTGCCAGGGACCAATTTAGTATTTTTTTTTTTCATTTTTAGGCAAAGACTGTCAGAAACATAGACCAGTTCTCGGTGGTGATATCACTATGATCTTCTCTATACCAATGTGTCCATTGTAAAAGTTATTGCTACTGTATGTCACATGGCAAAATAGTATTAGCTGATTTCATGGAAAATGTCAGTAGATTTATGTTTAGATATGGAGAATATGCAATGGTCCAGGCTCTCAAGGTGAAACCAAAGTTGGCAGAATTATTGGATCAAATCAGCAGCTTTCCACCCCATCAGGGTCTTTGTCAGGTAGGTTTCATTTTAGCAAGACATGTAAATATAGCATCCAGAAAAGATGTTTGATTCAGCCCTGTCTAAATGATATAGTTAATACATGATGTATGATTAATCATTTAACTCCTAAACACCTGCCCTAACTGTAATGTTTAACCCTTAAACCCCTAGTTCCTCCAGTCATTAACCCTACAATTATTAACGTACCAGAGATCACCATTTTGTGAACAAACCTCTAAATATCACCAAGCATGTGATCAGTCTCACCATGGAAGATGGATTACCACCTCCACTCCCTAATTTGTTACTTAATCATAAATTGCTATATCTTAATCCTATAGTTTAATTCCGTCACAAGAATTTTAAAACCAGTTGTGAGAAAATGAATAAAATTAGTGTTGGAAGAGTGTATTTTTCATAAATAAATCTTTGAGCAGTGCGAATTTGCTCGCCTGGTGATCATGGATAAAAACTCCAACACATATAAACGTACCAGAGATCACCATTTTGTGAACAAACCTCTAAATATCACCAAGCATGTGATCAGTCTCACCATCAGTCTATGAACCCTAGATAAGAACCATTCGGCCCATCTAGTCTGCCCAATTTTCTAAATACTTTCATTAGTCCCTAGTCTTATCTTATAGTTAGGATAGCCTTATGCCTATCCCACGCATTCTTAAACTCCTTTACTGTGTTAACCTCTACCACTTCAGCTGGAAGGCTATTCCATGCATCCACTACCCTCTCAGTAAAGTAATACTTTCTGATATTATTTTTAAATCTTTGCCCCTCTAATTTAACCCCTTAAGGACACAGCTTCAGAAGCTTGACTTACGCTTAATGACACAAGCAATTTTTGCATTTTCTTGCTGTTTGCGTTCAACTGCAATTTGCATCTCTCTCATTTATTGCACCGACACATATTATATACTGTTTTTTAAAGGACAGAAAGGGCTTTAATTTGATATAACATATATATATATATATAAATGCTTACTTATTATAAAAAAAAATACAGAAAAATGCAAAAAAAATGAAAAATATTGTTTTTTTTACAGTTTTTGCAATAATAATGTGTGCATAATTAGTGCATGTTAAGGAAAGTAATTAAAAATAAATTTATTTATTTGCTCTGATTTACAGAATATATAATGTGTCTGGGATTTTAAGTTTTTTTTGGTAGTTACAGGTCACAAAGTACAAGGAGTAAAATAAACTTTTAATGTGGAGCGACTTTAGAATTCGGTATGTTTGTCTTGTAAGCGTAATAGCCATAAAAGAAAACAAAATTGCCACACAAAAGTATATATTTATATAAAGTAGACATCACAGGCTATTTACCTAAGGTTGTTTTGTCACTTTCTACGTAGCCATTTCACCGCCAACCTCTGCTAAATATTGGAGTAAAATTGTGTTCTTTTTGGTTTTTGGCACACAAACTTATAACAGAGAAATTCTCGTGTATATTTTGTAAAGTTGGTGTGTGCTATTCCTGTACAAAGTTTTATTTTGTGTTCAGTTACATCTGCTGAGTAAAAGGACACCCCATATGAATGTCTTTGGCACTATTTCGTGAAGCTACAGTGCCATATAGGAGACCTGTCCTTTACAGTATTCACAGTAGAATTTTGAGAGATGGATTTAATGAGCCTATGCTTCCATTTGGGGTATTATACCAGTTTAACTGTTCAAAAAAAGCCCACAAAGGCCTACCATTTGTAAAAGTAGACACTCCAGGGTATCTCATATGGTGCATATTGTGCCTTAACATGCCCCCATTTTTTCACCAATATATGCCAAAGTATGTGGTAAAAAATAATTTTGTGCATTTTTTTACATACGGATTGCATTTTTGCTGGGCGTTTTGTATATTTCATATGTGCCACTAAGTTCAAACCCCCCAAATTATGCTCAGCTAATTCTTCTGAGTAAAATGACACCTCATATGAATGTCTTTGGCACTATTTCGTGAAGCTACAGTGCCATATAGGAGACCTGTCCTTTACAGTATTCATAGTAGAATTTTGAGAGATGGATTTAATGAGCCTTAGCTTCCATTTGGGGTATTATAACAGTTTGACTGTTCAAAAAAACCCCACAAAGGCCTACCATTTGTAAAAGGAGACACTCCAGGGTATCTTATAAGGTGCATATTGTGCCTTAACATACCCCCATTTTTTCACTAATATATGCCAAAGTATGTGGTAAAAAATTATTTTGTGCATTTTTTACATACGGATTGCATTTTTGCTGGGCGTTTTGTATATTTCATATGTGCCACTAAGTTCAAACCTCCCAAATTATGCTCAGCTAAGTCTTTTGAGTAAAAATACACCCCCAATGAATGTCTTTGTCACTATTTTGTGAAGCTACAGTGCCATATAGGAGACCAAGCCATATCTGTTTTTACCAAACTTTACATTTTGACGCTGTGCCTATGTGCAATTTCCAATCATCTTCGCAGGTTTTAAATTCAAACTTCCTCCTTTTTGACATACAAAGTGAGTTTGCACAGTATATTTTGCAAACCTTATGTGTGCTACGACTGTATAATACTTCATATGTTGCTCAGCTATGTCGGCCGAGTACAGCAATACCCCCGTATGTACCTTTTGCCAGGTAAGGTGTGGATACCTGATGTTGCCATTTGGGACACAGCCATTCCCAGTTTTTCAAACTTGAATTTTTATGTTGTGCCTATGTCCCATTTTAGAGTATTTTACCAGGCTATATAATCCAAATTCCCCATAAAGCC